TGTATACATAATAAATAAATAAATATTTTTAAAAAAAAAAAAAAACCCAAACAAAAAAAAAGCAGCAGCCTGGACAGACTGCTTTTATAGTTCCCCCAGTACTAAGGATTAAACCAGGATCCGTGCATACTAAACATTCTACCCACTGAACTGTATATTTTCAGCCCGCATTTTTTTATTTTATTATAGGTAAATTAGAATTTTCATGATTTTTTAAATGTCTAAACTCTTGCTTATCTGACAGCTTACCCACCATCTTCCTCTCCAGACAGGAGCTGCACCACTTAAGGGCTCTAAGGCACCTTGGCACAGCCCAGCATTTCCTCAGACTCAGCCTCACAGTGTAAGGTCATTGCTACCCTGCAGGGAGTGAATGTCTCACACCCCCAGGGAGCAGGAGGAACTAGCTACCAGGCCTGGGTTCCACACACAGCTGACAGGGCGGAGTCTGGGCCTGGGCCTGACTGTTCTCACCACATTCCCACCCAGATTTTGGATGGTCCCGGGTGCTTACCTGTTCGGTTGAGGGTGTCATAATAAGCTCAATTTTTTATTTTAAAGTATTTAGATTTAATTTTTTTTGTATGACTGTTTTGCTTGCATGTGTGCATGTATATGTACCATATGTTTGCCTGGTAGCCTCAGAGGTTGAAGAGGCCATTAGATCCCCTAGGATTGGAGTTACAGAGAGTTGTGAACCCTCATGTGGGAAGAACAAGTGCTCTTACGTCTGAGCCATCTCTTCAGCCCCTAAAATGTTAATCATTTTAAAAATGGACCTAAACCAGGCAGTGTGGTGGTGCACACCTTTAATCCCAGCACTCAGGAAGCAGAGACAGGTGGATCTCTGAGTTCAAGGCCAACTTGGTCTACAAATTGAGTTCCAGAACAGCCAGAGAATTCACGTCTCAAAAAACAAACAAACAAAAAAACAAAACAAAACAACAACTAGAGAGATGACTCAAAGGTTAAGAGCACTGGCGGCTCTTCCAGAGGTCCTGAGTTCAATTCCCAGCACCCACATGGGCTCACAAACCATCTATAGTGAGATCTGGTGCCCTCTTCTGGCCTGTACATGCCAACAGAACATTGTATACATGGTAAGTAAATCTTAAAAAAAAATAGACCTAGAGATCTTGAGAAAAATGTTAACCTCAGCCAGTAGTAATGGCTGATGCCTACAATACCAACTAGTTGGCAGTCTTAGGCAGGAAGTACATGTTCTAGGCCAGCCTGAGCAACTTAGTGACTTTCCTTCCTGGGTGGAGCTCAGTTAGGCTGCTGTCCAGCTAAATGTAAGCCTGGAGATTAGCGCCTAGCACTGCTGCTCAAGAAAGAAAAGCACTGTGTAGCTCAGGCTGGCCTCAGAACTCACGTGTGGAACTGGAGAGTTGGCTGAGCAGTTAGGAGCACACCTGTGCTTCTCTAAGCCCCACCCACATGGTCGCTCACAGCTATCCCTAACTACAGATCCAGGGCTTCCAAAGGTCTCGTCTGAGCACCAAGCAAGCATGGAGTGCACAGACAGACATGAAGGCAAAAGGTGTAAGATGAATAAATTTGATAAAATATTAAACAAAAATAGTCCTATATAGTTAACATAATTGTACATATTTAATAACAAAACTTTAAGAAATTACTATTTTAATTTTTATGCATTGTTAATGAAAGTATAATTGTATTATTTTTCCCTTTCCTCCCTCTGGCTCCTCCCATGTCCCCCCTTCCCAACTCCTTCTGGGTTTTCCCCCTTACTCTCAAATTGATAGCCTCTTCTTCCTTGATTGCAATTGGTGTGTGTAGCCTGCTGAGTGTATTTTGGGTTGATGTGTGTATATGGTTTCAGGGCTGACCACTCTGTATTAGACAACCAGTTATGGGACCCATCCCTGGTGAGGACTAATTTTTTTTTCCAAGACAAGAGATTTTCTGTGTAGCCTTGATCATCCTAGAACTCACTCTGTGGACCAGACTAGCCTCAAGCTCACAGAGATCTGCCTGCCTGCCTCCCAAGTGAAGTGCTGGGATTAAAGGCGTGTACCACCACCACCACCACCCGGTCAAAGGACTAATTCCAAACCATCATCAGTCCCTGTCTTTTATTGTCTAGGGTTAGGACCCCATGGGATGTTCCCCTTTCCATATTAGCATTCCTGTTGATGTTACCATTGTTCCAGTTCTGTTCATGTAGCCATTCCTGGAGATACTGTTTGACAGCTGACTTTCTGGTGTGCTGGCTCTTGGGATCTTTCTGCCATTTTTCTAGGATGCTCCCAAGCCATGGGTGTAGGAGCTGTGATGTAGATGTATGTACCCATTGGGCTGGGCTCCCCACGATCTGCTGATCTCTGGGTTGTGTCCAGTTGTGGTTTTCTGTGAAGGGAAACCTTTGATGGGGGGAGGGGGTACTGCTGCACTTACTCAGAACTGACAGCAGCTCAAGAAACCAGGAGGGATCCATGGACAAAGGGATTAGTGGTCAGCTGTAATTACTTTTTTTGAGCCAGGGTCTCACTGTAACCTTACCTGTCCTGGAATTAGCTATGTAGACTGTTGTGAAATTCATTTAACTAAATAAAGATGTATTACATTTGTTTGTTGCAGAATAATTGTTTAATTATGTAAAGATGTGTTGCTATTTCACCTTACCTGAGTAAGGCACCTGATTGGTCTATTAAAAAGCTGAATGGCCAATAACTAGGCACAGGAAGGATAGGCAGGCGGGGCTGGAGGGCAGAGAGAAAAGGGGAGGGGGGGCAGACAGGGGGGGGAGCAGGAAAGCAGGACTGACAGTATGCAAATGAGGAGAATGAGCCTGGGGCGGCGTGGAGAGTAACACCTGGGTTCATTTTGCCCTGCAGTGGTGTCACAGGCCATTAATCCCAGCACTTGGGAGGCAGAGACAGGTGGGTCTCTGAGTTTCAGGCAAGCCAGGCTTTCATCGTGAGACCCCGTCCTCTGACCTACACTACTGTGGCACGTGAATAAGCACACACACAACACAAAAACGTTGGGAGTGAGGGAAATCTAGAGCTGCTGATGGACTACAGAGTACGCGAAGCGCAAGCCAGACCCTGGGCTCAAGCCGGAGACCCTTGAAGAAAGAGGACAGAGACGCTCATTTCTTTTCTAGGCAGTTTGTATAACTGGATCCCACTGTGTATGGTCTGACTTGACGGCTAGCGTGCACACATGCACATCTTCCCATCTCAATATCTACAGAGTCATTCTTCCTTAATGACCTACCCTTTTGATGTTAGGAGAGTGGGGAGCAGAGGGGCAGAGACCTCAGATGATAAAGTGCGTGCCTTCAATGTCTGAGGCCCTGGGTTCCATCTCCAACAAAAACAAAATCCGTACTCAGTTCTCAGCTACCGCAGTTAATCCTCAGGCTTCACGCTGAGAGGAGCCCGCTGACTCCCAGGGCTTATTGTACTTTCCTCTACAAGCAGCCACTTCCTGGTTGCTCAGACTCAGAAGACCCGCGTGAGTGTGTAAGCTATTGGCCAGGCTCCTGGGCCCAGGAATGCTGCCATGCCTTTAATAGCTGTGTGAACAGACCTTCTATGGGCAACAGGCGGTTGCTGGGGTACCTGCATGTTTTCTTCCTTGGAGTCTGTGCTTACCATGCTGACCCTAAAATTTAGACCAGCTGCATTCTCAGAGGAAAAGGAGGTGAGGTTCCTGAGTGGAAGAGAAAGCCTGAAAAGTTTTAGAAATGAAATAAAACAAAATGTCTGCTGCCAAGGCTGTGTCAACCTAGCAGCCTCCCCGAGGGGCGCGATGGGCGAGATCTGAGGCTGGAATACTTTCAGAAAGGAAGTAGGGCACAGTTGATTAGCAGACACTTCCCTAAAAGTAAGCAAAGCAAAACTCACAGTGCCTTCCAAGTGTAGGCTCCCGTTCCTAGAGTTGCGTTTACGTACAGCACATACCGCCTCACTCAGAGAACTGTGACTGCTGAGCGGCTCCATCTCCAGCTTTTTAAGGAACTTCCCGGACGGACCGTGAGCCTTTGGGCCACCCGGAGGTCTGGGAGCCTGGGCACTTCCCTGCAGACCTGCTCCTACCCGCCGTGAGTAGCCTGAAGGAGTAGGTTCGGAAAGTAAACTAGACTGCTCGCTTTGAACTCAGGCAAGAACACAGTGGAGGAGCGCCTTCCTGGAATCTGGCCCGGTTTTTCTTAAACGCACCAAAAAAAAAAAAAAAAAGACAACGAAACTCTTGGACTTGTTCGTGCTTTGGTGCTGAATTGTGCAAATACTACTTTTGAAATCTGATAGGGGGCTTAAGTAACTACCCCGGAGCCAACGGTACTGAAAACAGGATCAGGATCATCCTACCCAGATGTCCTGAGGTTCCCAGGAGCGCAACAGGGAATCTGGAACCAAAGGAGTGATTGTAGATTCGGGCGCCGAGCTCGCCTCTCCGGGCCACGCTCGGCAAACCGCTGGGCTGGAGGGTGGTTAGCACACCTCGGAGCCCGCACTTGACACCCGCCGTTGCCAGCTGAGCGTCCGCGGAGGCGGTTGAAAGCCCCGGAAGGGCGGAAAGGGAGCCGGCGTAGGCGGCGGTGACTCAACCTGCCAGCAGCGCTGGGGGGGGGGGGGGGGGGGGGGGGGGGGGGGGGGGGGGGGGGGGCGCGGGGGGGGGGGGGGGGGGGGGGGGGGGGGGGGGGATAAAAGGGTTAAGTGGGCGTGGCCTGTGTTGTTCCGCCCCGACAGACCCCGCCCACGGAGGCCGCGGCTGGTGTGCATATTTATAGAGGCGGTGCCCGGGGAGCCGGGGCGTCCCTGTGCCCGCAGTCCGGCGTCATGGAGCGGCCGGCGCCCTTGGCCGTGCTGCCCTTCTCCGATCCCGCGCACGCCCTGAGCCTACTGCGCGGCTTGAGTCAGCTGCGCGCCGAGCGCAAGTTCCTGGACGTGACCCTGGAGGCGGCGGGTGGCCGCGACTTCCCCGCGCACCGCGCCGTGCTAGCGGCCGCTAGTCCCTACTTCCGCGCCATGTTCGCGGGGCAGCTGCGCGAGAGCCGCGCCGAGCGCGTGCGCCTGCACGGGGTGCCGCCCGACATGCTGCAGCTGCTCCTGGACTTCAGCTACACCGGCAGAGTGGCCGTGAGCGGCGACAACGCCGAGCCGCTACTGCGCGCCGCGGACCTGCTGCAGTTCCCCGCCGTGAAGGAAGCGTGCGGCGCCTTCCTGCAGCAGCAGCTCGACCTGGCCAACTGCCTGGACATGCAGGACTTTGCCGAGGCCTTCAGCTGCTCGGGGCTGGCTAGCGCGGCGCAGCGCTTTATCCTGCGCCACGTGGGCGAGCTGGGCGCCGAGCAGTTGGAGAGGCTGCCGCTGGCCCGCCTGCTGCGCTACCTGCGCGACGACGGGCTGTGCGTGCCCAAGGAGGAGGCGGCCTACCAGCTGGCACTGCGTTGGGTCCGCGCCGACCCGCCGCGCCGCGCGGCGCACTGGCCGCAGCTGCTGGAGGCCGTGCGCCTTCCCTTCGTGCGCCGCTTCTACCTGCTGGCACACGTGGAGGCCGAGCCGCTGGTGGCGCGCTGCCCGCCTTGCCTGCGCCTGCTGCGCGAGGCCCGCGACTTCCAGGCGGCACGCTACGACCGACACGACCGCGGGCCCTGCCCCCGCATGCGTCCGCGCCCGTCCACCGGCCTAGCGGAGATCCTGGTGCTGGTGGGAGGTTGCGACCAGGACTGCGACGAGTTGGTCACCGTCGACTGCTACAATCCGCAGACAGGCCAGTGGCGCTACCTGGCCGAGTTCCCCGACCACTTAGGCGGGGGCTACAGCATCGTGGCGCTGGGCAATGACATCTACGTGACGGGTGAGCGCGCTGGGGGCTTTCCAAGTGAAACACTCAGGACCTGAATCTTAGAGCTCGACCTAGCCCTTGGCAGGGACTGCGCTAGTTTTTCCATTTGCTTTCAAGCTATAAGAGCCCCCTGTGCTAGCAGAGACTTAACTGCTTTGTGGGTCTCCGTGCCTTACGTGGTACAGCCTGCCTTGCTTAGCCAACTCCTTGCCCCGGAGGTGCCTCCCCCTTTTGGGTTAGAAGAGACAGGGCATTGGCCTGGCACAATGGCTGCTTTCTTTTAATCCCCAAGGAATGCGGGGACAGGCTGCAGGCTGGCGCCTGGTGAGACATCTCACCCTCCCCAAAGCTGGGACTTTTCTCCCGCCCTGCTAAGCCACAGGGGCCTCCTGACTCAGTGGCTTTGTCACCAGTGACAGGGTTTCTTCGAGCCTGCACCTCGGCGATGCACTGTGGATCACATGGTGTTTAGGCTGCTCTAGTCTACGACTGTAAACATGGTCACATGTCGAGCGGTTTTCTTCCAGTTACTTGGCTGAAACCCCAAAACACTGCCGAGTCACTGTAGGCCGGCCCCAGCCTGCCCCTGTGCAGGGCTTCTCCCACGTTTTTCACCAAGGATGAATCCCGATGATCAAACTGAAGGGGAGGCTAGCTGCCTCCTTCTCCAGGCCAGCAGGGATGGCCTCTGGAACTGCTATATAAGGCAAGACCACTGGGGCCTATGTCCCTTATCATATCAGCCTGGCAGGCACGCGGCTGGGCTGTCACAGGGGCTCAGCTCCACATTCCACAGAAAGCCCACTCCGATATTCCGGTGGTGGTGTGCTTGTGGGTCTCCGGGACAGCCTCCGCTTTCCCGACTGGTCTCTGAATCCAGCCCTCCTTAACAACCTGAGACTGACCCTGCTCTGCCGGGCTCCGCCCTTGCCACCCTGCCCCCATCTCTGAAGTCTGGCTGGTGATTTTGAACAGAGAACTGGCCAGACTCGCCCTTGGATACTAAGTGTTACAGCTGAACAGCTAATGGGGTGGAGGCAGGTGGCTCCGCCATTCCCTTCAGCTGTTGGTGGGGAATTTTCCCGAGGGGCCAGGAAGCTGCTTCAGCTGCTTCAGAGCATCCCTGTGAAAGTCCCACAGTTTGTATAACATGTCTCAGACTCTTCCCTCAAAAGCTCTGGGCTGAGACAGAATGTCTCTATCCTGTTCACGGCACCAGCCGGAAAGCCAGGGGCAGAGCCCCAAGATTCCTGGAGTCTCCTCATACCCTGAGCATTTATGTCTTAGATTTCCTTTATACAGTTACTGTCTTTTGTTGACACACAAAATCTGTGTAGGTTGATAAGAATTTGAATGAAACATGTCTCTGTACTCTCCACTAAAGTCAAAACTAGAACCCCAGAGGTGTATGGGAGTGTGGTTTGTGGTGTTAGGTCTCTTGGGTAACAGTGTGGGTTTCTTCTCATGTTCTGACACAGTCTTGGTTTCAAAGTGTCCAGGATGTCTAGGATTTGGTGGCCAAATCCCACATTTAGTGTCTATCCAGAAGAGCTGCCCAGCCCTGAGATTGAATGGTCTGAGATAGTTACGTGTGATGGTGTGGCGGAGGGTAGTTTTGTTTGAGTCTTTTTTGTTTGTTTGTTTTGTTTTTTTGAGACAGGGTTTCTCTATGTCTCCCTGTCCGTCCTGGACCAGGCTGGTCTTGACCTCAGAGATTGACCTGTCTCTGCCTCCCTCCTGAGTGCTAGGAGTAAAGGTGCACACCTCGGCCCAGCTCTATTTAACTCTTTAACGTATGAGTGTTTTGCCGGCGTGTAGTCTGCACCATCTTCTTACCTGGTGCCCACAGAAGCCAGAAGAAAGCATCAGATCCCCTAGGACTGGAGTCAGGGATGGTCATGAGTTGCCACGTGAATGCTGGGAATAGAACCCAGGCCCTCTGAAAGAGCAGCTGGTGCTCTCTGCCCTCATTTTGTTTCTGGGGATTGGGGATCTCATGTGGCCTAGAGCAACTGGAACTGCTAAGTGCTGGGATTACAGGTGTGTTGCTCTCTGGAGAGCAAACCCAGGGTTCATGCATGCTATGGTAAACACTCCACCAGCTTAGCTGTATCCCCAGTCTAGGACAGTTGGAAGCGGCATCTTTTGGCTTTGATTTGACAGCAGTTAGGGGGCCTTGTGCCCTGCCTCAGTGACAGTGACCGCTTGGCGAGGCCAGAAGAAGACAAATGTATTTTGGGTGAAGGGAATCAGGCTAATTCCTTTGCAGGGAGAGGCCTACCCGGAAGTCCGAGAAGACACAGGTGGGTGACTCACTACACGTGGGTTGAGCATCTGCCCTTTGTGTGCCCCGACAGGCGGGTCTGATGGCTCCCGGCTCTATGACTGCGTGTGGCGATACAACTCAAGTGTGAACGAGTGGACAGAGGTGGCACCCATGCTCAAGGCCCGCGAGTACCACAGCTCTTCTGTTCTGGACGGGCTACTGTATGTGGTGGCAGCTGACAGCACAGAGCGCTATGACCATGCCACCGACTCCTGGGAGGCTCTGCAGCCTATGACCTACCCCATGGACAACTGCTCCACCACGGCCTGCCGAGGCCGGCTGTACGCCATCGGCTCCCTGGCGGGCAAGGAGACCATGGTGATACAATGCTATGACCCGGACACTGACCTGTGGTCACTGGTGGACTGTGGCCAGCTTCCACCTTGGTCCTTTGCGCCCAAGACTGTGACCCTGAATGGACTCATGTACTTTGTCAGGTGAGCCCCTGGGTACGCTGTTTCCGGCTCAGCATCCCTGCTGCCCATTTTATAGGTGAGGAAAGCTGGGATCGGAGGCTGAGGCTTGTCCCACCCCTTAGACCATTTCTGTGGCCTTCTAGGTTTTCTTAATCAAGCTGCCTCAAGGATAGTGGAGTCTCGAAGTGTCTAGCTAAGCAGCCCATGGGTTACCATGCATCCACCAGGACATGTACAGCATGCATGTTTCTAAGTGAGATAGAGAGAGATGTCTCAGCCGTACCCTAGCCTGGTCACCTGGGTTTTTTTGTTTTTCTTTTTCTTTTTTCTCTGAGACAGGGTTTCTCTGTAGCTTGGAACCTGTTCTGGAACTCGCTCTATAGACCAGGTTGGCCTCAAACTCACAGAAGATCTGTCCGCCTCTGCCTCCCGGGTGCTGGCATTAAAGGAGTGCGCCGCCACCACCTGGTGGTCCCCTGGTTTTGATGACCTATCTGGTCACAGCCAAATGTGCCTTGAATGGCTACTGAACGTTTGGGAGGGTAATTGGATTCCCTGTGTGTAGTGTGTGTGCACATACATGTGTGTGTGCATAGTCAATGCTTCCCCCTCCCCCGTCTGGAGTCTGCCTGAAGCTGTGGGGCTGCGAGGGACGAAGGGAATGACTGAATGACAATCCCTCTGTCTCCTCTGTCCTCGACTTTGATCTGGGAGCCCAAAGGTATGTGTACCCTGAGCCTACATTTTCTCTGACTGAGTAGCAGTGACCTTTGCCTGCCCTGCCCCCAAAATAGGAGGCCACCGCTCTTCAGGGTGAGCTCTGAGGAGCCTGAAGGGGACCCAAGTGTCATTGTCATCTAGGAGGCGGAAGGGCCTGGTGTCTTTAAATGCCAGGACCTGAGGGTCTGCTCTGAGAATGTCCTGGAACCTTCCTCAGCCTGGGTCCTGTTATAAAACTGCCTGGCCCTTCCCTAGGTTCTCCTGCCCCCCCCCCCCCCGCCTTCAAGAAGGGGGAGGGGCTGGCTATAAATACAACTGTGAAGAGTGCCAGGTCTTTGCTTCAGCCCCTCTAGTGGCTGCTGGCCCAGTACCTTTGAGAACGCCCTCCCTGTCCTAAGGTCCCAGGGCAGGATCCTGGCACCTGCTGACTCCTTCTGGAGGACAGTAGTCAGTTTTGATTGCTAACCCTCCAGGTGGATGTGGGAGGGGTTTGCCCAGCCTGCGGTTTGCTTGTGTGCCATCCACACAGGAAGCTACTTCAGCCCCACCTAAATACCTGGATATCCGTGACCAATAAAGGGAGCTGCCATCCTGAGCCTCCTGCTATTGATTTCCGGGAGGGGGGTTAGGGGGGGAAGCAAAGGTGTTGACTCTGCCTGGGAAGTAGCAGCCTTGAAGAGAGGATCCAGGGAGCCCTGTCCAGCCCAGCCCCTTCCAACTGTGGCTCTTTGGTCTCTGCTGGAAAGAAGACAGAGAGTGTAGGGATAACCCAGTGGGTTCAAAGCCAGTCTAGGCTACCAACCAAGACTCTGTTCAAAAATGTACATACAGGTCCCCAGAAGAGTCACACCCAAGGTGCTGCTGCTTTTGTCTGACTGACTGTCTTTGCCTCCCTTCCCTCCACAGGGACGACTCTGCCGAGGTGGATGTATACAACCCCTCCAAGAATGAATGGGACAAGATCCCGTCTATGAATCAGGTAAATTTGCAGGTGTGCCAGCATTTGTGAGTGCAGGCTGGCCCTGCTTTTGCAACTGGACTGTCATTAAGACAGAGTGCTTGGGAGACAGTCATGGTGGGTGGGGCCTGTAAGGGAAGCGGGTGTTACCCTCATTGCGTTTGGAACTTGCCGGTACCAGATGTTAAATAGGATCTCAAGACCAGACTAGTGGTCACTGCACCATCACTATGCGCCAGCACCATCGAGCAGAAAAGGTACAGAGAGGCAGCAAGCACAGAGAGGCCCCAGGGCTGGCGTGTTTGTGTGAACGCTAGCAGCCATTGTGGCTTGAGGGAATGGGGTCAGACAGGTCCGGGAACTATCCACCCCAGCTACTTCCTGAGGAGTTGACCCGGAGAATACATTTATGGGACCCATATAGTATGTGTGCCATGAACTCAGCACCCCCGCTGCAGACCTCATTTATCTGGTCAGGGTCTCCTATCTCTGATGGTACGGTGGCTCTTGGGAGACTTTGCCCTGTCTGACCAGGTTCCATTCCTAGCTGTCACTGATGGCTGTCCCAGCATCCTGTCTCCTATCTGTAAGATAGAACGGATGAGCCCGCCCTAACGGGCTGAGGCAGGGATGCTGGGTGTGGCCCACACCTGGAGACCATGCTGACCACATAGGGAGCCCCAGTTTCCTGGTTGGAAAACAGGAAGGCATTGGCTTATGCTATCTGCACTCCCTGGAAGGCTGGCTGAGGACGGTTCTTAGTGCTGGGGCTAGGATGTGCCAGGCTGTTCCCTGGAAGTTACTAGAGCAATCAGGGAGGGACGTCTGCCCTGCCTCAGTTGCCTGCCTCTCACTCCTCTGCCTTGACCTGCAGGTACATGTCGGGGGCAGCCTGGCCGTCCTGGGAGGCAAGCTCTATGTCTCTGGGGGATATGACAATACATTTGAACTCTCGGACGTGGTCGAGGCCTATGACCCAGAGACCCGGGCATGGAGTGTGGTGGGGCGGCTTCCGGAGCCCACCTTCTGGCATGGTAGCGTGAGCATCTTCCGTCAGTTCATGCCACAGACACCAGCAGGGGGCCGTGGCTTTGAGCTGAATAGTGGCAGCAGTGACGTGGATGCAGGCCGCCACAGGCTGCCTCAGAACCCTGACGAGCTGCACTAGCCCAGGCCTGGGCCCAAGGGAGGGCCTTTTTACAAGGGGCCTGGCACCTGCAGAGGAGCGGCCTCTCCTTTTTGCACATGAACCGGAGCAGTGGCTCCTGGCTGCTGAATGAGCCCTAGAGGCATCATGTGACGGTTCCTATACACTCGGAGCCTGTGTCACAGCTTCTAGGGCTGAAGCTGATGGTGACCTGTGTGTGTGGTCAAGAACCAGTGGCTTCTCCACCATCATGTATCTCTGCCTTCCAGAAGTTACCTCCAGCTTGTAGTATCCAACTCACCGTGCAGTGTGCCTCTCCTTGCTGCCACTTCCCGGGCCTGCTTGATCCCAGAGCAGAAGGTAAGGGTCCGTATGACAGAGTGGCCTGGCCTGGAACACTGGAGACCCAGGAAGACAAAGGCTACAACAGAGAGCTAAACTGCACCTCTAGCGCCAAGGCTCCCAGCAGCCAGGTCCAGGGAGCGTCAGTTCACCTAGCTTTGCATGTCTCTTAGGCCTCACCAGACAGCAGGGTAGGCTTCCAGGAGTTGAGGACTGACTGAGCTGTGGGATTAAGCCACAGTGTGAGCTTGAAGGGGTCTGTTTCCATAGTACATGGCCTCGCCTGGCCAGGAGGCCCTCCCTGGGGCTCTGTCCCAAGCCTGCAGAGGCAAGGCTAGAGGAGAAGACCGTGCCTCCTCGAGAATGTCACTGATACTTGGCTGAGCAGACAGCTGCTGGGCCTGGGAGCGACGACTCCTGCTTCAAAGGGAAGCCAAGCGGGGCAGCCCCAGCACTTGGTTCAAGGTTTGAAATGCTTGCGGTTTGAACTCGAAAAGAAGTAGAAGAGTTGGGAGAAGAGACAAATGGCCCTGTCTGACTTGAAGATGTACAGGTCAGCATTGTTAGACTTTTCCTGCCATCGTGTGGGAGACAGGATGTCTGAGAGCTCAGGCCCAGGTGCACGAGTAGCGGGACGCCTGAGTCACAGCTCAGGGACCCCTGGGTTTCTTCTGACCTTGAGTGGTTTCGTGGGTTTGGGGGCTGGGACCATTCAAGGTACCCAGTGGCTTCTCTGCTGGAGTCTGTCACGTTTCTTTGTGGAGAAGAGGGCGTTAGGACTGTCACGTTAGAGACAAAGCCAAGGTTCAGGGTGAACTTGGCTGACGGATGAGGCTCCAGGAATGGAATGTCCCCATCACACACCACAGCCATCTTCTTGGCCAGGTGGCAGAGGAGGCTGCCTTAATTTCCCAGACACCTGCCTTCTTCCTGTTTGGTTTGAAATCTGTTTCTAAAATGCTCTCCCGGGCGCCTGACCCTGGGGAAGATTGTGCCAGCCCAGGCCCACTGATACCCTAGGGCTCCTGTAGGGTGTGCAGCTGTGCTTTCTGTCCCCTGGTGCTGTCGGCCCAGCCCTCTAGTGCCTCTCCTCCCTCTTGGCCTAGTAAACTCTTTCCGTGAGCCTTAAGAGCTGTCACCCAGAGGTGTTGATACTCCATGAGGTGCCTTGGCATGGCAGGGTGGAATCTTGAGTATCAGGAACTAAGCTTAGTGCTGGGGAAAGTAGCCTGGCCACCACTGTCAGGTCCTTTGGGGGACAGGCTAGGGGGCTTCCCAGGGGAAGAGCTGCACCACCGCACTCTCCTTTGACTGCGGTGGCTCCTGCCTTATTGTGCACCCTTGCACAGGGCCCCTCTGCCCACCTCCAGAGATACTCAGGTTTGCACATCACGACCCACATCTGGGTAGGCACTCACTGTGGTCCTCCCACTGGGAGTCCAGTCCAGTCCCTCCCTCAGCTTCACCTTTGCCACGGGCTCTGGGCTGTAACCCATCACTTGACACATGTCTACACTAACAGGGATGAAAGCTGGGCTACCTGGGTATGGGATTGTCCCTGTCACATGTATAAAGCTTTTATATGTCAGGATAAAATTAAGTTATGAAAAGTTCTGTGCCTGGTATTTGCTGATCTATAAGGTATTTCTTATATTTATGACTTCAGAGACTTGTGTAAAGAAGGTCACCTTCCTTAGGTGACTAGCATTCAGTCACACCAGTGGCTGGGGCAGATTTGTATATTTATTTCTGTCTACTCCCTAGGCTTCTGTGTCCAGCATTCTAAGGTTTTAGGATGTTACCCTATTTTTTGAAATAAAATGTTTCCTACATGCTGAGTGTCATGGCTTTCATCTCTTTGTTTTTCCAGACATGGTTGCACCATGTATCCCTGGGTGTCCTGGAGCTCACGCTGGAAACTAGGATGGCTCGAACTCCCAGAGATCACCTGCCCCCTAAATGCTAGGATTAAAGGTGTGTGCCACCACCTCCCAGCTGGCCTTCATCTTCTTGCTGCTTTGTTTTCTGGGAATCCTTGTGTGCAGAGGCCAACACTGGTGGTGGGAGGTAGATCTAAATAGAGCGAATGCGGATGCAGGAGGTAGGATTGGGGAGTCCAGCATCACAGAGCAGAGAGACTGCAGGTACAAGAGGTAGGACTGGGGAGTCCGGCATCACAGCAGACCAAATGCAGATAGAGGAGGTAGGACTGGGGAGTCCGGCATCACAAAGAGAGAATGCAAGTACAGGAGGTAGGATTGGAGTCCGGCATCACAGCAGAGCAAATGCAGATACAGAAGGGCCGAGTCTAGCATCAGCATCACAGAGCCTCTCTAGTCCTTTCTCTCCTCAAGGTGAAATACACATATGATGTAGTACAAAGGTAGGCTCCTACCCACAGTGAGATGGACCTTGAACCTAGGTTACTTTTAGAACCCCCAAAGTCATCAGAAATCAGGTATTTGCATCACAATATTTATTATGTATACAATATTCTGTGTGTATACCTGCAGGCCAGAAGAGGGCACCAGATCTCATTACAGATGGTTGTGAGCCACCATGTGGTTGCTGGGAATTGAACTCAGGACCTTTGGAAGAGCAGGCAATGCTCTTAGCCCCTGAGCCATCTCTCCAGCCCTTTTTGTTGTTGTTTTATTTCTTTTTCTGAAACAGGGTTTCTCTGTAGCTTTGGAGCCTGTCCTGGAACTCACTCTGTAGACCAGGCTTGGCCTCCAACTCACAGAGATCCATCTGTCTCTGCCTCCAGAGTGCTGGGATTAAAGGCATGCACCACCACTGCCTTGCTAGTGAAGTTAATTTTATGGTTGGGGTTACCACAACATGAGTAACTATTGAAGGGTGGCAGCATTAGGAAGGTTGAGAATCACAACTCTGGAGGGTTGAGACACACACACACTAGGCTGTAATCTCCTCCCCCAGAGCCTATCCAAATCCAGGGGAGGCCAATGCCTGGCTGGAAAAGAAACAGGCTAGGATCCCTGAGGACAGATTGAGGAATGAATGCTTTACCACTAAACCACCCCCCAACTGTGGCCTTGAGTAGCCTCAGAACAGATCTGAAGCTGTTTATGGCCTATACTGGCAAACCTGGGGTGCACGATTCCCTCAGGTGCTAATGGCCAGGGAACGAAAGGGAGTCGGGTGTGTTAGTTGTGAGGGAACCCCATCTTCCTAGCCTCCCAACAGCAGGGAAATTAGGGTATGTAATGGCAGGAGTATGGCATTTCATGGAGCAAGGAGATTAGGCAAAGCCTAGCCCTGGATGGGGTGGGATGTTTCAGTGTGTTGTATTTGTTCGACACGCCTATCAAGGTCTATGCCTCCTCTAACCAGGAAGTACTGGTGACAGCCTCAATCAACACTGTGGCAAAGAAGACATCAAACCATTTCCCCAGCTAGGTCATAGAAAGGTCTTGTACTTCTGACTGGGGGTACTTACCTAGAGCTTGGGTACCATGCTGAGGAAGCCCCAGCAGCTTCCAGAAGGAACCCAGGCCCCTGAGCTTGTGTGCTAACAGGCCAGACAGGCATGAGAAAGCCCCCAATAATTTGGCCAAGGTTTCCCACCCAGTGAGTTTTCTCAGTACCTGTCTGAGAAGCATGAGCATGCACCAGCCAGTGGGAACATGTGGATGAAGCAGGAAGTCTCACGGGCTCTTTGGGAGACAAAAAGAGTTAAGAAATTTGAAGGTGCATCTGCCGCATCCATGACCTACAGCACCATGCTATGGAAGGGGTGGGATCCATGCCCCTTCCCATTCAAGGTCTGGACCAAAATAGGATCCTTCCAAGGGTGGGTTCCTCTGGGCGTACAGCCAGTCAAGGCCAGCTTCTTAGCTGTCCCTGGCCATGTTCAGCTTCATTGAACTGACTTAACTCTGGCCAATGAAGCCATGACCATGGGCCCTTGCTACTGTGCCAACTTCCAAGTGACCCATGGCTGGCCTCACTTACAATATGCTAAGTCGGACTCTACCCATTGGCGTGCAGCAGTGAGGGACAGGAGCTATATAGCAAGTGGATGCCACCTCCATTCCCGTCAAGTTCCTCAGCTTGGCTGAGGTTCCCAGGGCTGGGGAAGCAGCTGCGCCCAGGTGCCCACTGGATGGGTACCATGAGGGACAGCTGGGAGGAAGCCCTTCAGTTTGGTCTGGGCCCGTAGTTGCAGAAGATCAAGCAACAGACCACTGAACAAGTGAATCCAAAGTCACGTATTTATTGGTAGATGGGGCTAACTGGGCAGGGGTCTACGTGTCACAGCCCTCGGGGACAGCAGCTGTGATGATGAGTGAAGGCTCCAGGACACCGGGGCTGGCAAAGCTCTCCTCTGCACACAGTCTCTGGCTAGGGAGCTGGGTGGCAAGGCCACCCTGGGTCAGGGACTCCACAATGACCTCTGCAGAGCCCATCTCCAGGTCTGCAGGTGGCTGGAGAGCCACCACCACCATCTTCTCGTCCTCGATGACTAGGTTGCGGAGCTTGCGCTGCCGTGGATTGTAGTTTTCCACTCTGTCGTGGATCTCCATGTGCCTCCGCAGGTGAGCCTGCGGGGAGGGGACGCTTAGAAGCGGGGACAGAGCGGAGGAGGGGCAGGAGACCCGGGCCCGGCCTACCTGCCGAGTGAACTTGTAGCCACACTCAGTGCACTCAAACTTCCTCACGCCCTTGTGTCGTCTGACGTGCACTCGTAGCTGTTCCACGGCTGCAGGAGGAAGGGGGCCACCGGCATTAGGAGCAGGGAACATGGCAGGGACAGGACTGAGATGGGAGACAAGGCGTCCCAGGGCCTAAGGCACAGGAGGCGGCCCTTGGCAGGATCTCCCCCACTCCAGGCTCTACAGCACCACACTGAGGCCACCATTGCCCGGGTCCAGGGCGCCCTGCCCCCACCTCCGCCATCACAGCCGGTCCACTCTCATGTCTCCTAGCACATGGAAGACAGAACTCTGCTGGCTGGAAGGTTCTAAGGAGCACTGGGAAGCCACTGTTCCCTTGATCTCTGTAGACCCTTAAACTCAGGTAGGCAGGAAATGGAAGCCAGGCCCTCTCTCCCACAGCTTGCCCACTTGCCTTTGAAGGTCTTGCCACAGATCTGGCAGAAGTGAGGCCTGCCCTCCTGGTGACGACTGGCCACATGCCTCAGAAGGGGCCCCTTCTCAGTGAAGCGCTGTTCACAGAATTCACAGCTGAAAGGCCTCTCCCCGGTGTGGGTACGGTTGTGCTTGTCCAGACTGGCTGTGGGGGACAAAGTGGAGCTCAGTTGCTGGCTTGAGCCCCGGGAAAGGAGGGGATGGACCTGCCTCACCTTGGGTACGGAAGGTCTTGCCACAGAGGTGACATTGGAAAGGCTTCTCGCCTGTGTGTGTGCGGAGGTGCATGTTGAGATTGGCCTTCTGGGTGAACGCGTGGCTGCAGAACTCGCAGACATAAGGCCTTTCATTCCTGTGCGGATGGGGACACAAGGCAGAGGCTATCACTAGGGAAAGCCATCCCCTTTCAGTCATCCGTTAGGGCTGAACATGCTAAGCAAGTAGGACTTGGGTGGTTCCAGGCAAAGGACACCACCACCTTCGACAGAAGCACAGGAGAATCCAGGAGTCAGGAAGGTAAGGGACAGACGTGCCTCAGCCTGAGCCCTCCCCACTGGCCTAACAAATCTGCCTGCCTCTCACCCAGCCCCGGAAGGCTGCAGGTGCTAGACTCCGGAGGGGAACACTCATCCCCCATGTATGCAGGTGCTGGACTCCGGAGGGGAACACTCATCCCCATGTGTACACGTGTGTGGGGCCCGCACTCGGGGAGGAGGGAGGAGGCTCATACCTGTGCTTGGCCTTGATGTGCATCTGCAGCCCATTGCGGCTCGAGGCCCGGTGCCCACACTCCTCACACACAAACAGCTTTTCCCCGCGGTGCTTAAAAGCCTCGTGTAGTTGGAGTTCCGTCCTAGACAAGAAGCACTTGGCACAAGTGGGACACTGCAGGCGGGAGACAGGCAGAGGGAGCAGTGCCAGGTAAGGACAGGGTGGGCCGTCCAGGAGCCACGGGGGCCCCATCCCTGCCTGGCACTTACTGCGTGGGGCTTAGGGGCTCCGTGCAGCTTGATCATGTGGCTCTGCAGGTCCTTCTTCTGCATGAACTGCTGGGAGCAGGAGGAACACTGAAAACACAGGCCTAGTCAGCACCAGCACAACTGTGCCATCAGCCACCTGACATGGTGAAGGAGGCTAACCCAGATCTGCTGAGGGCTGGCTCCCAAGACGGGCCAATGCTCAGCCATCCATGTCGCGCCCAGAGGAACGCTGAGCCAGTAGGGCTACAGACAGTGGTCCTATCTATAATAGTGTCACTGGGTGGGCAAGGAAGGTACCACCCCAGGCAAAGGGGTCCACATCCCCGTCCCACCCGTGACCCGGGGACCAGCTGACCTACCTTGTAGGGCATTTCCCCAGTGTGTGACACCATGTGTACCCGCAGCTCCGTCCTCCGGCGGAATGTCTCCTGGCACACGGAGCATGTGAAGACCTGGCAGTGTGAAGGGCAAGCAGGGCCAGCATCAGGGAGGGCCTCTGCCGGCGACGGCAGCCTCTGCAGGGGCTTCCACACGCTGCTGGGAAGTGTCTGCCTGGGGCAGGGGATGCTGGGGTAGGAGAGGGCAACATGTAACCTGCCTGCCTACATCACAGGGCACTGCACACTACCACACGCCAGGCCCTGCTCAGCTCCAGACAGGCTAGAGACGGGCCCAGCTGCTAATGACCAGTCTCTGGGAAGAGAAAGATGGGGTTTAGCCAGATACTACCCACTTGGGGCAAGAGGA